TCTTATTCACTATTTCACACTCTGACAATGGGTAAGATGTTAGATCAATCGATCTATCACATGAGTTTACAAGCAGCTTAACAGAATGTTGTAACTTGGTGAAATTGAATTCATTTTCTTAAGAAATATGGTTAGGTAGAATAACAGCGCGAAGGTTACAAACAGATATATTTTCTGTATGTTCAACAATCTCTGTGCATAGGTTTGGTGTTATGATTGGTCCAATATTACCTTGGTTGGATTTTTTATTGGTATTATCGATAAAGAACAAAAACGGTTCACCAGTATCACATTGCATTTTGATTATATCAAAAAATAATTTCCGTGCTTTGATCGTTTTCTTGCACTTTAACTCTACCTCACAACGAATATATGCATCATTGAATTTCTGACCATATAATCCATTTAGATCATATCCTAGTAATATCTTCGCATCCATAGGTGAAAAGGTGGTCCAATAATCATCATCTTGAACGCGTACCATAAATATATCTGGAATGGCAATACAGTGATTCAGATCTGTTGTACGTAACTCTGGTACCTGTGACTCATAGCGGATTCGTAAAAACTCCTCTACATCACGGTGCCAAATCGCTAAGTTTACCATAATCGCTCCCTTGCGTTTGTTACCTCCCTGGTCAACGTACTTGGCTGTTTCATTATAAACACGAAGCATTCTACATACACCGGATGAATATCCACTAGATCCTTTAATATAATCACCATTTACACGGATGTCACTAACGTCGATTCCAATTCCACCACAATTCTTTGATATCAGGGCGATATCTTTTAAACTTTCATATATTCCTTCAATCGAATCTCCTTTTATTCTTGCAATAAAACAACTAGCAAGTGGATTGTTTTCCATGGAAGAGTTTGCACATGTAGGCGTGGCCATGCTTATCTTGTTAGAGACCATCATATGATAACATTCTTTTAACTTTACAAAATCATCAGAGTATATTTGCAAAGCGATCCGTAATAACTCGTATTATATACAGTCAATCTCCCTGTTTCCTATTTTCTTGAAAAACTTTTCCCGGTTTCGTACATATTCCATATACCCATGATAGTATTCTCTAGTAAAATCGATAAGAGAATCAAAAAATTCTTTATTTTTAATGACAATATCACGATATCTTTTATCAATGAGTGGAATATGTTTCTTAATTTCATTGGTAACTTCATGAAAATTATCATAGAGAAGCGTTACATGTTCAGAAAACGTTTGGGGAATACGTTCTAACTGATGCTTAGCAAGTAT